CACACACACACACACACACACACACACACACACACACACACAAACACACACAGTCAAGGAGCAAACTTGCATAAACATAACTTACCAACAAGATACGTTGCACAGATAAACTGTTCTAAAAGTGTACAAACTGGTGCTGGTCATAACATTAGAATATTATGAAAATGTTGATTTCATTAATTCCATTCAAAGAGTGAAACTTGTTATTTCATTACACAAAGACTGATATATTTCAAATGTTTATTTCTTTTAATTTCGAMGATTATAACTGACAACTAATGAAAATCCCAAATTCAGTATCTCAGAAAATTACAATATTGTGAAAAGGTTCAATAGTGAAGACACCTGGTYCCACAATCTAATCAGCTAATTAACTGAAAATACCTGCAAAGGCCTTTAAATGGTCTTTCAGTCTTGTTCTGTAGGTTGCACAATCATGGGGAAGACTGCTGACTTGACAGTTGTCCAAAACACGACCATCGACACCTTGCACAAGGAGGGCAAGACACAAAAGGTCATCGCTAAAGAGGCTGGCTGTTCACAGAGCTCGGTGTCCAAGCACATTAATACAGAGGAGAAGGGAAGGAAAAGATGTGGTAGAAAAATGTGGACAAGCATTAAGGATAACCTCACCCTAGTGAAGACTGTGAAACAAAACATTCAAAAATGTGGGGGAGATTCACAAAGAGTGGACTGCAGCTGGAGTSAGTGCTTCAAGAACCACCACACACAGCTGTATGAAGACATGGGTATCAGCTGTTGCATTCCTTGTGTCAAGCCTCTCTTGGTCTAGAGCAGAGGTGCCCAAAGTGGGGCCCGCGGGCCAAAATTGGCCCATCGAACCATTTGATTTGGCCCACCAGCAGTTGTCCTGGTTACTAGATTGTAATTATGTTAAGATTAAATATAAAATACAAGTAACTACAAGAGACATTTAGATTAGATTTAAGCCCATATATAGATTTGCACACCTTATAAGACCACATATACCCAAATCTTAAATAATGAAAAGTCCCATGAGCCTTTGCTGCCTGAGCATACGTTGAATTTTTCTCCATGTCCATGGGCTGAAAAAAACAAACATGGGCTGAATGGAATTACTAAAATAAATAAACTTTTTGTGATATTCTAATTTTATGACCAGCATATTTGCAGAGAAAAAGGGGATCAAAATTATGTTAAAAAGGGTGACAAGATTGCATGACCCACTCAGACCTTTGGAGACCRTACTTGTTCTTTGTGGGGACAAATGAATTTGAGTTTATGCTCAATGCCTCCTCAGTGCCGAGTCATGTGGTCCTGTTGACTGTGTCTTTATACTTAGAAYGGCAGGTCAATCAAATGAAAGCAATAATGTGTGACTTTAAGTGTGAAGGGATGTCACAGAGGGAGGAACTCAATGTCTCTAAGTGCAGATTTAAATATTGATWTAATGGCTGAAGCCAGAGGCGTGTTAGCAGTTGCAGACAGCTGCTTTCTAAATGTTCTCAGCTGCCAGTGAGACACAAAAACACAAATCTCTACACAAACCCAGACACAACATAAGAGGTTTCAACAAGATCGACTTATTTGAGCTGTAAGTTCTTAAGAAAATATTTTAGGAAATGGGTTTATCTTGCTCATAAATGGTTCCGTTCTTTTTGACATTAAAGCGTCTTTGCCGCTGATGGAACTTAGAGAATTTGTTGAAGATGTTGGTAATGGGCAGAGCAACAATCAGCAGCCCACAGACGATGCACAGTGTTCCTATCATCCTCCCAGCTGAAGTAACTGGAACTGTGTCCCCGTAGCCCACGGTGGTCATGCTTATGGTGGCCCACCACCAGCCAATAGGAATAGTCTGCAGCTCGGATACTTTCGACTCTTTCTCTGCAAAGTAAATAAGAGCAGAAAACAAAGAAACCCCCAAGGACAAGAAGAGCACCAGCTGGCCCATTTCTTTGGAGCTGTGTCGCATCGTGGCTCCCAGAGAGCGGAGCCCAGCTGAGTGACGAGCCAGCTTCAAAATGCGAAACACTCGCATCAGTCTCAAGATCTGAATCACTTTGCCAACGTTCTCCAGCTCCGGGTTCTTATCCGTGCTCATTTCATCGCAGATCGTCGTCACATAGAAAGGCAAAATTGACAACAAATCAATAACATTCAAAGGGCTGAGCAAGAACTTCTTGGCTGACGGTGCAACGGCCAAACGAAGAGTGAACTCTGCAGTGAAGAACAGGATGCAGAAGTTCTCAAACAAAGCCAACACCGGATTGTCAATGTACTTGTTATCAGAATCCAGCTGATGAAAGTCTGGCATGCTGTTCAAACACATGGCAACAATGGAGACAATCACCACGCTCACAGATGCTGCAGCCATTACTTTCGCTGAGGTGGAGAAACCTGGATTCTCAAGTCGAATCCAAACYCTTCTGCGAACATCCGCACAGCGGGAGCCTTCAAATAACTCCATGTTGTCCTCAGAAGCTGTAAGCTCCTCAGCAGAAGAGCCTGAGCTCTGGAGCTGCTGGTCATCGCTTCTTTGATCCCACGTTTGCTCCATCAGTTCCAGGAATCTGCTGCTGCAGCACAGGTCCAGGTGGCGCTCCTTGATGCCCCAGTACTCAATCTCCTGGACAAACGAAACCACGCACAGGCCGTCTACCAGGTGGATTTTCCCKGTCAGGTAAAAGTTGAGGATGTAGCAAAAGAAACTCGGGCTGCGGTCAAAGTAGTATTCCATTTCAGAGGGACTGAAGTCYTCGCAGAGTCCCAGGATGGCCTCTTTGGAGCTGCAGCACAGCAGGCGACCAAGACGGGTCTGCGGGAATCTCCTCAGTARGGCGTGATTCATGCGCTGCCTGAATCCTCCAACATTTACATTAATGAAGCAGTCATCAGGCTGTTGGAGAATCTGCCCATAAACCATGATGAGGCTGCTCACTTCTCCTTCTTGAAAATATAAAAGACCTCTTCTTCTGCAGAAAAAATAAAACAGAAATAAGCATATTTCAGATGTGATCACATCTAAGAGTTTTACATCCGTGTCCTCAAGAATCAAGTTGCATCTGGGTCTTTTGACTTCCTAAGTGTCAGCATCAAGGGATTTGTAATGTAAAACACACAAAATATTTTTGTCACACAAACTCATTTTTGTAACATTTGTGGGAAAAAAAGCATTTAATACAKTATTCTCTTGTAGGCATCTAACAGTATTATTTATATATTTATTTACATACTGTTTTAAAGAAAAGCAGTTGATATTCTGAAAGTGTCACCAGTGTCTGCCACATATTAGGTGTAAAATAACTACATAAATAAATAGATAAAAAGGAAGAGTCAATGTTACCTCAAGCAGCGGTTTGTCTCGACTCCATGCAGAATGTGGGAGCAGCACAAACACAAGTGGGATGTTAAGGAGTCCCGAGCAGCTTCTGAAATGCTGCTCCAGAATATGTTTAAATTTTAATGCACGATGCACCACCAGTTTATAGTGCTGCAGCTTGTTTACGGTGTGCACTCTGGTAACTATGACCTAATACGACATTTTTCAAAGGCTAAGAGTTTTTTTCTGTGTAATGTGAAATGTAACTGCGTGCCCCTTTCGATGTCTTCTTGTTATGCAAGACTGCTTGCTAAAATCCAAATGCAAATAAAAATCGGAAACAAAAAACGATAACATTTGTTTCAATACACCAAGCTGTGGAAGTGAACCGCACTACGACAGAACGTCCATGCAGCAGAGATATACAGCGGGTAAAATAAGTATTGAACACGTCACCATTTTTCTCAGTAAATATATTACTAGAGGTGCTAATGACATGAAATTTTCACCAGATGTCGGTAACAACCCAAGTGATCCATACATACAAAGAAATCAAACCATAAGTCCAGAAATGAAGTTACAGTGGTTTGCAAAAGTATTCATAC